CCAAAACCCCAAAACCCCAAAACCCCAAAACCCCAAAACCCCAAAACCCCGAGAGTGCGAATATAATATAGAACATTAAAATGATAGAGAGAAATAGCTGAAAAATTAATAATTATATCAATATCAATATGGGATGTATACAAGATAAGAGTGGTTCCGTCATCAAAACAAATTAATTACCTCCCAATCTAGCTAAAGGATATACCTCAAATTTGGATACATAAGAAAATGAAATCAAAATTTTACTAATGGCTTAGTCATTTAATCAATACAAAGTGTAACAATAGGTTAAACAGAAACGAAATCCTAGTATTACTGGCTAAACTAAAATAAGTCTTGATCAAGATGATGATAAAAATAAGTCATTACCCCAGAAAACACTGATAAATCCTCAATATAACGAAACAGTTCAAAATGCTCTAAGGAAAATTAAACACAAAAAGACTCTCAGCAAGGAAAGTGGCTTGAAAATGAAGAAGAAGCAGATACTTGAGATTATGGAAATCGATTAGCAAGGCTAGATAAAAGTTGACAATAATAATTAAATTCTTGCTGCAATTCAGTAAAAAGCTGAGAATAAATCTAGAAAGGCTCAAGCCAAACTTATAAGATAGCTTAAAAAAGCAAAAGTGACATTCAATCAAAACAAATTATAAGTAGTGTATGAGGAAGAGTCAGAAGAAGGAGATCATTCTAGTGATGAGGATAATATAACTTAAGAGAAATTTGAAAAGTCTACTATCTACTCGACAAAAGCTAGTTCATTCAGCTGGGATTAACCAGCTGCTGTAGAAATATTAAGAATGGCTTTGCAGCTTCAAGTTAATGAAAAATAAGTTTCAATTGAACAATATCAGCAATTATTTGGAATGACATTATCTTAATAGAATGAAGTACCAGTAATTCTGAGCAAACGAGATATCCATAAATCATAGTCAAACGAGGAGGTTTGGAATATACCTGATAACTAAATAAAAAAAGCAATCAAACTTAAGAAGTAAATCTCTGATGATAGTTACAGCTCTGTTAGTGACAAAATGATTTGAGTTAATTTTTAACATCGTCAATATAGATTGATTATTATAGTAATTACTCAATCGAAAGATTTTATTATTGTAAGAATTATTTCACCTTCCTTTGAGGTTATAGATATCACGGATTGTTGCTCATTTTTTATATATATATATCCACAGTTTATTTATTCACTCATCTTAATTTCTATTTTAGTCTAATACTTAGATCATTTTCAATCGAGGGGTTTTGGGGTTTTGGGGTTTTGGGGTTTTGGGG